AATGAAGTTAGCGCCCTTAATTCATTCAGTAAAAGTATAAAGGTGTGGCTTTTAGAGAACAAAATCTGCCTTGAATCTAAAACAAAACCTGGTTTTCACTGTCAAGGAACTACAGGAACTACAGACCTGTTTCCTTACTTCCTCAATTTGCCAAGATACTTGAAAAACTGTTCACTTACTGCCTAGATAAATTTTTAGAAAAACATAAACTACTTACTAACAGTCAATATGGATTTAGAGCTAATTGTTCAACATCACTGGCACTAATTGAAACACTAGAGGACATTACAAATGCTATAGATCAGAAAAAGTGAGCAGTAGGAGTATTCATGGATCTAAAAAAAGCATTTCATAACATCCTACTAAATAAACTGGAACGCTATGGAATCAGGGAGGTGGCACTAGACTGGATCAGGAATTATTTGACCGACGGGAAGCAGTTTGTGAAGTTGGATGGAATCAACTCATCATGCTTGGACATTGTTTGTGGTGTTCCCCAGGGGCCAGTGATTGGTCCAAAACTGTTCATTCTTTATATTAATGACATCTGCAAGGTGTCACAATCATTAAAGTTAATTTTATTTGCAGATGATACAAATATTTTCTGTTCTGGGGATAATTTCAAAGAACTCATACATACACTCAACTCAGAACTACAAAACATAAAAAAATGGTTTGAATTGAATAAATTATCACTAAACTTGAATAAAACTAAAATCATGTTGTTTGGGAACAGCAGCCTAAATTTACAAGGACAAATCCAAATAGATAGTGTGAGAATTGAAAGAGCGAAGGAGATCAGATTTCTTGGTGTAATAATAGACAATAGATGTCATGGCCTGCATCTCCCCTCATGTATCTCCTTGTGTTCTCCATCCCTCTCTAGGTTCTCCTTTTGTGTCTCCTAGCGCCTTCATGTGTCCTTGTCTTTGTCTTGGGTCCTAACCTTCAACGTGACAGAAGGGACCGACAACAGACAGAGGCCTAGTCCACACGTAGCCGGGTTTTTTAAAAACAGATATCCACCCCTCTAAATACTTGCATCCACACCACCTCGTTTAAAAAAAAAAAACTCTGTCCACACGTAACCGGAAAATACGTTGCTAAGGACAAGCCAGACCTGTAGGCGGCAGTAATTCCCCCGTTCTTAACCTCGTCCTCTGTCTGTGGTCTTCTGCAAGGAGCAGTAAAGCCTGGTTTATGCTTCTCCGTCAGCTCCGCAAGGGACAGACACGCACGGATTGACGGAAGTGTTTTGCTTTCATACTTCTCCGTCTCCTGGAGAGTGTTGCAAAGCAATTCCCCGGCAGGACAACAGAGGGCGTAGCGCTGCAGTGTCTCCAGGAATGGTGCACTCAAAAAAAAAAGAAAAAAAAAAGTATCGGTCCAAGATAGTGTGTTTATATTGTGTTTTTTGTGTATATAAGAGACTTTTAACACGGACATATTTGTCTCTCATTCTCCTCCATCTCTTCATGCGCTCCCCACCTCTAAACCCACGTTTCCTGTCATTTCCATCCACAAATAATAATGGCGTTGCGTGTGCTCTGCAATGACGCAGACGGAGAAGCATAAATCAGGCTTAATTCCGCTTGCAAAAACTAACAAGCAAAAAGCGCTTGGACAATTGATAAAGCGAGCGCAGCTCTGAGGGCATCCATGCTGTCGGCTAGTGTAAACACAGGTCACACACGTGATGTCAGCAATTTTTTGTCGCGGAAAGTGACGTTGCGGACCTTAAAACTCCGGTTTTGTCTGTCCACACGCAGACACCCAAAACTGAGAAAACGCAGATCTTCACTTTGGCCGGAGTTTTTAAAAAGATCCGTTTTCGTGTGAAAAAACTCAGTTTTCGTGTGGATGACAAGCCAAAACGTAGAAAAATATCTACGTTTTGGCAGATCCCCGGCTACGTGTGGACAGGGCTAGAGACGCAGACAGGGTTAAATACACTGGGGCATGATGGGAGGCTGATAAGCTGCAGGTGTGTGGGGAGAGGATCCAAGTGAAAGCAATTAACTGATCAGGGAGAAAACTGACATGACCTAAGAGTAAAAACCTAAAGACAAAATTAACTAATATTCTAGGGGGAGGGGAAACTACAAAATCCTGTGGGAAAACACACTAAAGAGACTAATAAAATGAGAAGCTGATCCTATAAAAAACTGCAGAGGGGTGACCGGGAAAGACTGAAGGAACACAGGACCTGGGAGGGATGATCTGGAGGGCTGCAAAACAGGAGACACATAAGGAACACAAAGGGACACATAAAAGAGATGCAGACAAGGACACATAAAGGCGCTAGGAGACACAAAAGGAGAACCTAGAGAGGGATGGAGAACACAAGGAGACACATGAGGGGAGACACAGACGCAGACCATGACAATAGAATCAGCTGGAAAGCTCACATTAAACATATAAACAATAAAATCTCAAGAAGCATGTCAATATTAAATAAAGTCAAACACATTCTGGACCAAAAGTCACTCCACATTTGATACTGTTCACTTATTTCCACATATTTAAATTACTGTACAGAGGTTTGGGGAAACACCTATAAATGTGCATTTTCATCATTATCTGTGTTACAAAAAAGGGCTCTAAGGATCATTCATAACACGGTTACAGAGATCATATAAACTCATTATTTTTAAAATCACAAATCTTAAAATTTCCAGAGATAGTTCAGTTTAAAACAGCACAGCTAATGTATAAAATAAACAACAAACTACCTCCAGACAACACATTAAAACTGTTTCATAAAAGGTAGGGGAGGTATCAGTTCAGAGGGGAGTTCACATTCAAACATGCTCGAGTCCGAACAACATTAAAAACTTTCAGTGTGTGTGTGTGTGTGTGTGTGTGTGTGTGTGTGTGTGTGTGTGTGTGTGTGTGTGCCGTGTGAAACTGTGGAACAGAATGAGTGATGAATTGAGGCAATGTCCAAACATGATGCTCAGTCGGGTCACAGGAAGCTGGACCTGAATAGTGTGTACTCACAACAACATAAAAACAGCAGTTCAGATAGAGTTACTTAAGATAGATACAACAACCTTGGTTATTTTTGAAGTATAACAATTTAAAAAATTATTAGTTATCTGAGTTATTTATCTCAGTGACTACATGAAAACATTTGTCTGAGCGTCTCTTTTTAACTTCTGATAAATGCATTCAAATGCTTTGATTCCACATCCCACATTAGGGTAAAGTATCCCAAAAGTCAGTACTATGCTTAGGGCTAATTTATACTTTTCCATCTGCGTCGGTGAGGAGACACGCAACGCCATTATGCATCGATGCAAGGGCTATCTGACAGACCGGTGAAGGAGACATGCCCAAATTTATAAATATCCATCAAAAGTGATGGAGACCGCAAGCTTGTGATTGGTCAGGACGGAGTTTCCTGTAAATTTGTCAACAGCACCGCCATTACCCCGTCTAAAGTAAAAAGATGTTTAGCGGCAGACCCGCAACAGATTAAAGAACAAATCGCAGAAAAAGTCTGAAAATATGTTTATTCACCCGTGACTGAAGGAGTACAAAGATATGGAGCAAATGTTTTATTCATGGAAGGAAATGACTAGAAACGTGGTTTTAGAGATGGCAACCGCATGAAGAGGTAGGTGAAGGACAAACATGTCTGTGATATAAAGTCTCTGAAATATATAAACACATTAGTAAATACACCATAACGAACCAGATACATCAGAGTTTTGGTGGCATGATACCACCAGAAAGTGCTACGCCCCCTGTTGTCCAGGCAGGGAACTGATTTGCAACACTCGCCAGGTAATGGAGAAGTCCGAGAGCAAATCGTCTATCAACGCTCTTCTTTGCGGAGCTGACTGAGAAGTATAAATTAGGCTTTAGGCTCTGCTCTCAGCAGTGGGGGGTTCCAAGTCTGCAGCCAGGAAGACACTGCCTCACCCTGGACCCCTCCTGGAACCGCCCCTGACAAATAACCATTTACACACTCACTTTGGGACAATTTATAGTGTCCAGTCCAGATAACATTACATGCATGTAGTGGTGGGAAAATCCTCAGAAAACTCATGTTTGCATGAAGACAACATACAGAATGGCCCGAGGCAGGATTCATACCTGCAACCTACTTCCTGCAAGGCAGGAAAGACATTTTTGTCTTTCCCGTAAGGATTTGTGAGTTTTTTTTGTTTTGCAGCATCTCTAACAGGTAGTCCACTCCCTGTTTGTTTGAGTTACTTAGTTATACAAAACATGACACACTCACAACCACTTTTGTACATACAGCTTTCAAAACATTCTAGTCACTTTCTCAAAATGAATCCTCATCTAATAATGTGTCCTCCACCTAAAATTTGATTTACGAAATATGTGCTCTGATCCCACAAACTGTGTCAACACACTCACAACAATTCCTAGACCATGGGTGCACTCATCTTATAAACTTATGGTAAAATCACAGTTTTCAGGCCACAGTTTTTTGTTACAGGGCAGGAGATTTAAATAAAGTGGTCCTAGCACAAACAGACGTGTCAAAGGCTACATTCTGCCATCTGTGAAGCAACAGGGGCAGGTGTGAGTGACAGCTCACTCCTTGAGCTATTGCAAAAGTAGGACACGGGAACCCCGCAAAACAGCAGGAAGCTAATCTGTTGGCTTTCAGCTGCAGTATGAGTGAAAAGGCATTGTTGATACAGGTGATTTTTACTGTTGATTGCTTACATAAAAAATAAAAAAATAGTTGTAAAATAAATAATAAAAAAAACAGGCAGCACAAGTGAAATAAACTCATTATTAAATTTGCTGATAGTTGTTTTTCTCAAACAGAAATTTGCTTTTGAGTGATTACATAAATTTTACGCTCAGTAATCACAGTTTTTTTTCTACTAGTCTAATATTTTATAAACACGAAGAGAAACTTTCCCACCAATAGGAACTCAAGTTGAGAACGCTCAGGCCAAATCCACACCTCCTATTGGTTAGTGAACACGGAAAGGGGCGGGTCTAAAGTAAATTCTTTACCATAACAGGGTGGGCGCGTGCGCTAACACGAGCTCAGTAGAAGTTTGGCAGAGGAGAAATTTAGAGAGGAACTGCTGAGAAAGAAGGCAAATGGGCCGAAAAACGCAGATTTAATCCGCCTGTAGTCGTTTCACAGCGGGAACTTCAGGTAGGAACAACGTGTACAGTTGTCATGACAAACGAGGTGCTTGTTAAAACGTTGTTACTTAGGTAAACGACAAACTATCATCTTAAAGCGTTTTTATTTGTGTTTTGTTCCTAATACCCAGTGCTTTTCTTTTTAAACCTAATAACGATTGAGTAATTTAGTAGGTCAGGTCATGGCTCTGTAGGTAAACAAACAAACAAGGGTGTTGTGCCACTGCAATCTATCAAAATCCATTATGTCTTTGCACATGTAGCAACTAGCTCAGGTGCTTTTATTTTGAAAGGATTCTTTCATTTAGAAACAAAGATTGAATCACTTCAGACAGAAAGTGTAAACAAAAGCTGCTTTCATTAAGTTTAGTCCTTTTATCTAGTTCCAGGTTTGTTACTGTGTCTTCAATAATTCGTTTTCATATTTGGCAATAATTAAAACATGTATGACAACTATTAAATCTCATTAGTTAGGTAGGATTTTCAGGACATTTTATGTCTGAATTTAGCTGTATTTATTCGCTGATCTGGAAAAGAAACCTCTTTAGATTGGTCATTGATCCAAATGTAGTCAATGTTTTTGACGGGCACGTGATAGGAGCTGTCATCAGTTGTCTGGTTAGATTCTTCTTCTTTATCTTGTTTACATGTTGATATCAAATTGCAGAATCGAGACATTTGATTTTTGGGTGAAGTTCCCCTGGTAGTAAGACATTTTTAGGCTATTTAGCATTTAATTGAACAGAGGAACATGAGCAAAAACGTCATAAAATAACTTATTATTTTGGTAAAGCTATATATATCATGCTGATCAATATTTGTAGGCCTATAATTAGACATTGAAAAAGTAGAATTGATAAATAAAGTTGTCAATATTTAACGCTTTTATTTTGGAATAAAAAGGATCCAGGCCTTCTTGGTTTTGGCTGAACATGGACCCCAACGGTGAGAACAAAATGACACCTCACCTGTCTGGAACCGGCTCGTCTGAAACCCAGTGGCTGACCACGCCCAAAGGAGCAGGTACATTAAATATGCCCCCCCGCCACTACAGGAACCCTAAAACTCTTAAGAACTCCCTCCTGCAGGGAGTTTAATCTGCATTCAGTTTGTCAATAAGCCGATTAGCATGCAAACATTAATATAGATACCATATTATCTGTTGTAGCTGGCTCCCTGAGAACTATATTGTACTGGTGAGCTAATAGCCAACAAAGTCGACTGCTGCCTTTCTTAAAAGCTCCAGGATTTCACTGCAGTTTATGCAATAGCAAACTGAAAACGTTTAAACTGCTATCAATTTTACATTAAATGGTTATTTTAACAGGGATGTTAGGAAATGTCAACCAGACTTGACCCCTGGATGGAAGCACCACATTTAGCTGCTGCTGGGGAAATGTAAACTAGCAAATAACCACGTAATTACATGTAAATAACCATGTAATTACATGTAAATAACCATGTAATGCAAAGCTGACAGCGATGTAACGGTGCATGGACACCTGGACAGTCCAATAAGAATCTTCAGTGTCCATTTAGGAAGCTACCAGCAACATATAGTGATTGGTACCTTTTACATAGAAACACACTTCAAAATAACGTGAATGTGGTTCCATCGTTTATCAGTTTTTTTCCCCGTTTAATTTATTTACAGAATTAGAACATAATAGCTGTGTTTATGACTAAGACTTGACCGAAACAGAATGAAAGAAAACTTTGGGATACGTTTAGAAATTCCTGAAGAACTGTTTCTCAAGACCATTTTTAAAGATTAGAAGAAATTCTTGTTTTTTGAAAGGAGACTAGAAACGAGGGGCATCTCCAGAGGTTTGCATAGAGCTGTGCTTTAGGTTGTGCAGTAGTTTCAGTTGAATCTTGTACAACTGGTTTCAAACAAATTCATTCACTGAGCCTCTTTAAACACTGATTAAACCTAGTTATACCAAGAAAAGTGTTAGTGCCATTGAAAAGATAACCCAGAGATATCTCAGTGGCTTTTAAAGTGTAATGCTTAAACTCACCTGAGTAAACCGGCTAATCCAGCAAACGTTGTTGGTTTGAGGATTCCCAGAACATGGCCCCAAACAAAGTCTGACTGCGCATTCTCTGAACTGAGTTTTTCCCAAAAAAATCTGAATTATGACAAAAACAGACATTGTGTATGACCTTATGTTGTTTTTGTCATGGTGACCTTTTGTGACAAAGAGGATTCTTCGTGCTTCACCACTCCTAGGTTTTAAAACATTAGCTAATCATCCCTGTAAGACCAGTTTTACCTTCAAAACATCTCTTTCATTTTCAAGCAGACATCATCTTCCGGAAGACCTTTTCCTCATAATCTGATGAGATTAAGAGCTCAGATTCAATACTGGTCTGTTTATTCAAAATTAGTACATTGCAAAGTACAAAACCGTGAAGTAGTGACTATCTGAAACTATAAATAGTGATTAATACAGCTATTGTTGGATTCAAAGGTTTGAGACTTATCACTGCTCTGTTTGTCACCTCCCTATCTTTGTAGTCCTGCTGCAACGATCGTAGCATTAGACAAATCGCCTTGTCATTTCTCTGCAAACCTTTGAACTCTACTTTCACAAAGTCAGCAGTGTTGAGGCAAATTCAGAGATTGTAGAAATGTCAAAGTAAGAAAGACAAAAAGACAGTTTCTCAATGAGCTGCAACAACTCAAACTTGCAACAGATTATGTAAACGTTAAAGGTGCAATAAGTAAGAATTTTACAGTTTTACAGTTCTAATGTCTCAACCATGTTGGAAGGAAGGCTACATTGAAACAGATTTCCTTCTCAGCCGACTAGGGTGTTGTCAGTTCGCTCCTTTTAAAAAAGCCGAAGAGGGATGTAGTCTATGTTTACAATGTGTCCTGCCTCCATATTTCCTGGTTCCAGAGCCAATCATATTTGAGCCAAGTCTGTTTTTGTAATTTGACCCTGATTGATAAAAAGCACACAGTTGTTGAAAAATTGTTAGCCAGTAACAGGAGAGGCCCAGAAGTTATTCCTTGTACCCCTAGAAGGCTGCATGGTGGCGCAGTTGTTAGCACGGTGGCCTCGCAGCACGAAGGTTGCAGGTTCAAAACTCGACTGCGGCCTTCCTGCGTGGAGTTGCATGTTCTCCCCATGCATGTGAGGGTTTCCTCCGGGTACTCCGGTTTCCCCCACAGATCACAACATGCCCTATAGGTTATAAATTGTTAGTCGTCTGCCAAATAAATAAACATAATAATAATAATAGAAGCCACGGCATCCATTTAGTTTTTCTCTAACATCAGGTAGAGACTAACATTGAGCTAACGATGCTAACAGTGAATTAGAAAAATTTAGTCGGCTCTAAAATGTCTCTAGCTACTTTTTATAATTACCAACAACTCGATATTACAGTAAAATGTATTTATGCTCTCATTAACTTACTGAGAAGAACTCGTCTTCACTCGTCATCTAGAATCTTCTAGTTCTGATCCATAACTGGATATGGTTGCTCGAGTCGGACTCATTTCTTTTGATCAGTGATAGGAATAACTCAGTCTAAAATAACGGTGTTACTAAAAAAGAGGGTTTTTTGTAACAAGTAATCTAATTAATTACCGTCTTCTTTTATCATAACGCTGTCTCCGTTACTGATAAGAAAATGCGTGCATTACTAATTCAGCAGCACAGTGTGTTGAAGCCGTCATCAGCTGACTGGGGGCTAAAGAGGTGGATGTCTTCATCCAAGGCCCGTGAAGAACGAGGAAGACGTGGTGAATAGTCTACAGCTGCAGACCCGCAGAACCCATTTTCTTGCATTCTTTAAAGGGACTTTACGGAGTTTTGAATGTTTATGCTCGAGATCGCCCCCTCTGGCCAAAAGCATAACGGCAGCTTCAATAGGAGGCTCGTGCACGAGGTGCGCATGCTGTACGTCCTTAGCGAAAATAACAGCTGAGACGAAGCTCTGAGAGCTGACAGTCCCTTGTGTGTGTGTGTGTGTGTGTGTGTGTGTGTGTGTGTGTGTGTGTGTGTGTGTGTGTGTGTGTGTGTGTGTGTGTGTGTGTGGGGCCCGGAGGACAGAGGACAGGAGAACACGCAGCTACTTAATTAAATAATGTGGTTCTGTATCTTTCTCTTCAGCACAGCCGACAAAGGTTTATGATGGGTCAGTCCTCCTGCATGCTCAGATCATTCCCTTCCCTTGCTTGAAAAATTGTTCCAAAATGAAAGTTGAACCCACATCTTTTTTATGTGTGAATTCAATGCAGTTCAGCGAGTCTCAAATAAAAATTTGGGCATCTTACTGTAAAAAAATATACTATTAATGTAAAAACAAAATTCTGAAACAACAATGTTCACATCCAGAATCAAACCCGGGTCTTCTGCACAAAAGCCCGAAAATTTACTAGGTGAGCTAAATCGCCAGTGGCGTCTTTTGTACCTGTAACAATCATATTCTTGATGACAGCTGAAACAACGTTCAAAGAACGGTTCGGAGGGCTATGCCTGAGCGTGAACGCGCATGAAGCAGCCTGCTCGACCCGAGCAGCTCTCTTTTTCTGTGATTTTACAGAAAAACAGGCGATCACAGTAAAAATGCCAGGGCTCATTCTACAGGACCAGGGCATTGCAGGAGAATGTATGAAGAAGACATTTATTATTTCTATACATGTTTTGGCTGTCAAACTTCCGTAATGCCCCTTTAATGAAAAGGGTTAGGGTAATTATTTTTCTTGGTAATTAGTTACTTTTATAATCTTGTAACTTGGTAAGTAACTGAGATACTTTTTTGACAAAGTAATCAGTAACTATAACTACTTACTTTTTAAAAGTAACATTCCCAACACTGGTTTTGTTACAAGAAAGAAAGAAAGAAAGAAAGAAAGAAAGAAAGAGAAAGAAAGAAAGAAAGAAAGAAAGAAAGAAAGAAAGAAAGAAAGAAAGAAAGAGAAAAGGATCTTGGACTGCAGTACCACTACTACGCCATACACCTTTACCTTGGAATCATACTGGGTTAGTGCCAAACTCATATTTACTATAAGTTTTATATCTTGCTGGGGTACATAAGGCTAATGACAAAATTCAAAATTATTGGGATTGTGTATAAAGCAATATGTAATTATGGAATGGAACCTGAAAGGTTGTTTGTAATTACCTTATAAGCTCCATGTGACCCAGCCATTAATAAAATGTGTCCAAAAAGTCTCTTACATATCAATTTATTGTGTTTCTAACTGATAATTTGCCTATTTTATCCAAGCATTGTCTCTAATTACCTTAAAGAGAATTGTCATTTGAGAGTTTGAGACCACAATGTCCTCCTTTCTTTGTCTCCAGGCTGCAGCTGGTTGGTGGTGCTTGCAGCTGTGTCAGCCTCTCTAAGTGGTCTGATGTTAGGCTATGAAATGGGCCTGACCTCCGGGGTCCTGCTGCAGCTGCGGGGTGTCCTCTCTCTTTCCTGCAGGGAACAGGAACTGCTGGTTAGCTCCTACCTGCTTGGAGCTCTCCTCGTCTGCCTCGCTGGAGGCCCTATTCTGGACCGTTATGGCCGCCGCTGCTCTTTGCTCCTGAGTGCTTTGTTGGTGGTTGGAGGAACCATCCTACTTGTCGCTGTGACGTCCTTTGTCTCTCTCACGCTGGGCCGTGTGATCGTAGGCATGGGGACCTCTTTGTCAGGGACAGCAGCGTGTCTGTACATAGCAGAGATCTCGCCGAGGGAGAGGAGGGGTCTGTTGGTCACGCTGTACGAATTGATGCTAGTCATAGGGGTAATGTTGGGGTTTGGTTGTAGTTACGCCTTTGCCACCTCGCCTCACGGCTGGGCGTACACATTTGCACTTGTTATTCCCCCGACGCTGCTCCAGATAGGTGCGCTCGTCTTCCTCCCATCTAGTCCACGCTTCCTTGTTGCTCAGGGAAAAGTGGAGCAGGCGAGGGTGGTGCTGTTCAGGTTGAGAGGTGGAGACAGGGAGCACGTAGCAGGGGAGCTCAGGGACATCCAGGCTGGACTAAAAGAAGAATCAGAGCATAGTTTTTGGGAGCTATTCAGTGACAAAGCCAACCTGCGTTTACGGTTGCTAACGGGCGTGGCCCTAGTCTTCCTCCAGCAGGCTACAGGACAACCCAACATCCTCTCCTACGCCTCCCCTCTCCTCCGCAGCGTCGGCTTCGACAGTGATGCTGCCGCCACCTTGGCCTCCACGGGTTTTGGAGTGGTCAAAGTAGTTTGCACCATCCCCGCTGTGTTGCTGGTTGATCGCGTGGGAACCAAAAGCTTTCTGGTGGTGGGCGCCGTTGCAATGGGAATTTCTCTGGCTGCTCTCGGTACCCTGACTCTGCAAAGCCGCACTCACCTCACAAGCCTGTGCAAAAGCCAGGCTGAACTAAACCACACAAGTACGCTGTGGGATCTGAACACAACCTCTATAGACTTGGACAGCAGTGACATTTTTTCTACTCACCTCCCAAACCAGTGGGGACCAGAGGAGGTACGGAGGACTGATACAGAACAAAATGGGTTTGACGGATCAGGAGGAGGAAGGACTGATGGAGAAATGTCTTCCTCATTGAAGTGGGTGTCCTTGATAAGCCTGCTGTTGTATGTGGCAGGCTTCTCCATTAGCCTGGGCCCAAGTAAGCACTTTTATTTTCTTCTCTCTTCACACAAACACTCAAACACACATTAGAGAAACTCAACCGTCTGAAGACAGTATCTCACTGAGCATTCACGAGCAACTTTCCAAACAGTTTAGAAATGTTTATGCTAATTTTCTGGCCTTTAGCCCAGGCCACATTCTGCACAACATCCAGAGAGGTGGCAAACTGTACAGCCTAAGATTTCAGTGAGCCAAACTGCGCTACGTCTTGCTCTAGCAGGACACGCTAACTTCACATGCGTACTCGCCAAAAAGTATACGTCACCGAAAGCTACAGATCCCCAAGACAGCCACGATGAAAAGAGAAAAATGCGCGACCCTTAACACTTCCTTTATTGAGAACTCAACCGAACTCCAGAAGGGAGTGGTCCACGTCTTCTTGCATGTAGCTGTCACTATTGCTAACATTGCTAATGCTACTCTCACGTTATTTTCATTGGTTGGCTGCAGACCGGAGTCCTGGGTTTTCTGACGCTGCTTGAAGATTGTTTGATGCAGAATTTTGATGTTGCTGGGCCGGTCACACTGGACAACCACAGAACCTGCAAATCAACCTCATATTTACCATTTTTTGTCATGATTCCGTTCGCAACGAAAGATTTGTGTTGGATGCTGAAAAGGGCACAGTGTGGCCTGGGCTTTAGTCAAAGGGTTTTGCTCCTGTGATTGAACATTTGAACAGATTTGAAAACGTTATAGTTATTGTGGGCTTTAGGAACTCTCTTCAGTTAAGATTTTACAAAACTGGTAATTGATCAGAGACACGAAATAAAATGCCATTCTAAGCATGACAGAGTGAGGATAATAGTGATGTAAAAGTGCTACAGCATTTCAGTGAGATTCCAACTGAAAATTCCCAGTTGTTCCTGCGAGTTGTAGCTGGCTTATATATGGATTTCAGACTTTTATTTTGAAATCAAATGTTTCAAATCCTCATTTTAGTTTCCCCACCTTTTATTTGACACAGTGACGTTACTTGCCGATTAACACAAAAGATTTACCACGGAATGCAAAATTTTGATTCATTTTATCAGTATAGAGAGATTTGTTCTTGTTTCGCTACAAACCTGCAGCACTAATGCAGTGCTACACTTGAATAATTAAGTTTAGACTAATATATAATACTAGGGAGAAAAGTCCCAGCTCTACAAATGAAGCAACACAAAACCAAGAAGTTTTCTTATATATTAGTTTTTTTGTTCCCAGTGGTGTACGTGGTCCTCAGTGAGATCTTTCCCATGGGAGTCCGAGGCAGAGCCGTGTCTGTGGTGTCGGCTGTGAACTGGGCCACAAACCTGCTCATTTCTATGACTTTTCTCACCATCACAGGTTCGTGTTTGTTACTTTATCCAAAATACTCCCTTTTAGAATTATTGGATCGTTCATAGATACACTTATCATGCAAACTGGAAACAAACATCTCCAGTATTCTTTAACAAGGGGATATTTTTATTTGCAATGTGAAAAAAGAAGAAAAATGCACGCAGTTTAGTTGTAAGTAAATTTTGTATTTTTGAAAATTGACAAGCATTCAATTACACTTTATTTTGTTAAATGTTTTAGAAAAGATTGGCGTTCCCAACGTAATGTTCTTGTACGCTGCCGTGAGTTTCGTTCTGCTGGTGTTCGTCTTCCTCTGTGTGCCGGAAACCAAAGGCCGGACGCTGGAGGAGATTTCAAAAGACCTGGCAAAGAAGTAAACAGCAGCTCCCTAACGTAAACACAGTTTATCTTGTGAACTAACACTGATTTGTTTTCTGTCTTTTCTTTTGGTTTACCAGGAAAAGGTTTGAGGTGACGCTTTATAGGCAGGAGCAGCCAAGGGAGAGCCTGATCAGCAGGAGCACGCTGAAGGAGTCTCCGGCAAACGCCTGAGTCGTGTACAGATGGAAGCGTTCCACCGAGTGTAACCTGAGCGTGAAGAAGTGGCGTCTTTACATCCCTGATGTTTTCTGCAGAGTAGTGGAGAAGCATTTGGGAATTTTCTCAAATCAGGTCATCTCAGGGTTACACTTTCTTTTATTAGGATAAATAATAAAAACTACACCAGGTTTGGAGGAATACATCATGTGTATTTTAACCAATACAATCAAAGCCATATTGCACACTAAACTCCACCAGACAGAACTAAGGCCTTCGATTAGCCACTAAACGAATCTACTTGTTTTGAACTAACACGTAGACACGAGTTACCTGTCTGAATTCAGACACCTAAATGCCTGAAATGGGCGTGTTTTCCAGGTTTCTCTTATGGAAGTGAACAAATTCCTAAAAAGGGTGGCCTCACTCTTCCGGTACAGCCAGTTTTATCAGAAGAGCATGACCCCCGCATATGCATATTTTACAAATATTTGCTGCTGAATATTAAATAAAAATCGATCAAATAAGTATTAAAGATCAAAAACCTACTGAGGGTTCAAGTTTGAGAGACAAGGCGTAAATTGCACTATTTTTAATTTGTACATGGATGCCTTTTTTAGCATGGAAATAGTGTAGTTATTGAATATTGTTGATTTTTCTGGAATATTCTCTGTTGCACTCCACATGTAATCAAATACTACAACCAGAACAGAAACAAATAAAATCGCCAGTAACCATTTAACAGACTTTTTATTTATTTTATTTTCATACAAAATACAAAAGTTCAAAGTGTCACAAATTCTTATTCGACATCCGTTCAAAAAAAAAAGACTCACTTCTACGTACAACATACATATCAAAGTTCATTTTTACAGTCTTTGCACGAGATGCACAAGTTATTTACAGTGTAGGGTTGCCATGGTGGCGTAGAAGCCAATGGAAATATCAGCAAAAATAAAAGCTACAAGGGTTTTTGTGCTGTGTAGTTTAACGATAAATTCACCGCTGCTCCACATTAAAAGACTCGAGTGGCTTCTTTAGAAGAGAGTTGTGAATTTTACCCCCCCCCCCCCCCCCCCCCACTTAGACAATAAAAGATCATTTTAACACCAAATGTTTTAAAAATTGGAATTCTGAAATGTTGGGACTGTTGTCCATTTAAAACATTTACATCATGTGAGCACACTAGCTTAAGAATAAATATCCTAATAAAATAAAGAGCATGAAGTAAAGCCAAATGTGAGCTCATTTTGGACAAATACCAGAGATCTCCAAGAGAAAACACTAATAAGAAAAATACAACTGGGATGGGCCCTGCAATGGACTGGCTCTCTGTCCAGGGTGTACCCCGCCTAATTGCCCGTTGGAGATAGGCACCAGCCCAGCCCAGCCCCCCCCCCCCCCCCCGCGAGGACGGAGCGGGTTCAGAAAATGGATGGATGGATAACTGAGATAGGGCCAATCAGGACCTGGTTTAGCTTTATGTTCTCTCAAAGCATCAGATTCAGCTAGCTTCCTGTTTTACATACAGCTGTACAAAAAGGAGTGGATGCCTCACACCTGCGTCACAACTCTACAAACAAACCGCAGACAGAGGTTTTTGTCAAAGAAAACTGGAAGGACTTGTACAAAAGCAACAATCACCACCATTGAGCATTAAAATAACTCGCTCCAGCATCCATGCATAAACACCCCAATACCTTTAAAGCCTGGTTCATGCTTCTCCGTCAGCTCCGCAAGGGACAGACACGCACGGATTGACGGAAGCAGTTTGCTCTCATACCTCTCCGTCTCCTGGAGAGTGTTGCAAAGCAATTGCCCGGCAGGACAACAGAGGGCGTAGCGCTGTACTGTGGTATCCTGTCATGTATCGGTCCAAGATAGTGTGTTTATATTATGTTTTTGTATCTAAGAGACTTTTTAACAGACACAGTTGTCCCTCATCCTCCTCCACCTCTTCATGCACTCCCTACCTCTAAACCCATGTTTCCTGTCGTTTCCGTCCACAGATAAAACGCTTGCTGCGCATATTTTCACTCCTCCAGTCACGGGAGAATTAAACGTTCATATTTTTAGAGTTTTTTCGCGAGGTATTCTTCAAGCTTCTCCGTGTCTGCCGCTAGTTATCCTCGGCACTCTTTATGTTTTTGAGGGCGCAATGGCGGCGCTGTAAACAACAGCGGTGCCCTGACCAATCACAAGCTTGCGTTGTCCGTCTCGACTGACGGGTGTTTAGACAAATGGGCTCGACTCCGTCCGTCCTTGCGGAGCTCTCCAGCAGGCCCGCAAGGACGTTGCGTGTCTCCGCACTGACACAGACGGAGAAGCATGAATCAGGCTTAAGAGTCAAGCTAGGATAGGGGTGGGGTTAGGACTTAGAGCTGGTTTAGATAAGGTGCTTCCTCATCACTCGGGTGGCGTAAAACGTTTCCTTCATTTGCAGAGAGGTTTCCGAACCTCAAAGAGAAGAGGGTAAACCTGCTCCACTGCTGTCGCCACGGCCTGCACGTTTGGTCCTGAAGTTGTGTGAGAGAGATGACATCATGAATACAAATCACGAGTGTGTGGAAAAAAAATCAAAAAACTAACAAAAATAAATAAATAAAAAATACAAAAAAACCAACACTGAACACTTCTAAAATATTAAAATTGGGGTGGGAATTTAACGAGTTCATTATGATTAATTCATTAGTAAAAAATAACTAACACGCCCAGGGCCCGCCCAATTGGTTTGGCAGCAAAATTCGTGCCCTAAATATCAATGAATATCCTCAAGCTGCACCTCTAAAGAAACACCAGGACATTGGCTACAAGACCACATTAAACTTCTTTACATGCACTAATTGCAACTAAAAACTACGATCAAATGAGTGATCAGAAAGCCCTCTTCCTGTGTGAGTGTTTTCGCCTATATTTCTGTCTCTAACAAAAATAACATGAGGGGATGCAGTGCCTATGCGGCGCCTATGTAAGGGAAACACTGGGATGAGTAAACTGTGTAAGGTAGCTTGTATCCTCCACAGAAACACATCTCAGCACAAAAATGGTGGTGTTGCTGCTCTATTTTATGGCTTTTTGTCAGACTCTGAACTAAGGAAGTCATGGTTACCGGTGTAGCCGTAAACCTTTGTAAAAATGTTGACAACAATAATAACTGTCTTGTTTTTTAAAATATACACTATCTTGGTGGATAACCGTGGCCCCGGCGTTGGCGCGGTGACCCTCATTAGACCCCGTCTCATCTGCTGAAGGTGCCACGCGTGTACTTTCTAGTTTACAACTAAAACTTTCTTGAAGCTGAAATAATGGCCAAAGGAGCGGATGGCAGTGCTCAGGACATCGATCAGCCCTCAGAGAAGACAATATGGGCAAATTTTGGATATTTGAAGAATGTCACGGAGCAGCTGATAGAAGACAGCTAACATGTTTGCAGCACGTCAGGAAAATGTCTGCCAAAGACAGCAACACTTTTAAATCTCATGACACATCTGCATGACCATCACCCACAACTCTACAGTCAATGCAAAGCAAGTTAACGTTAGCGTTTTAGCTCAAACACATGATGTGAGGACTTTGGGTTGAGGGGGAATGCAAATAAGTCGCCCTATAGTGCAGTCGCAGCGCTCACTGCCAAACCGTGTTGCAGACACACGTAAATTAAAATGACACCGTATTACGTTGGCTCCCAGAGGGCAGATAAGAGCTGGTCGCCAATGCAGTAGACTGACTCGCCACAATATTATGAATTTTACAATGATTACTGCCTGAAGACTTTTTCCCTAATCTGGAAAGCTCGCATGAAGAACACAAACCGAAGACAATTCTGTCCCGATATAGAGGGTTTATTTAGTTGTCCGAAAATGTAACACATTTCTGGTGCTATAATTAGTACCCTCGACACGACCAGCAACACATCGTTATCATGAAATATTCATAGAAGTGGGAGATATAGACTTTTATTTTGTCTCACTGAGGAAAAGTGTTTGGGCACCCCTGACCCATAGGGGGGGCTGGGTAGGGTAGCCAACAACTGTACTCAAGTAAGAGCAACACTACTTCAACACATTTTACTCAAGTAAAAGTAGCTGTCCAAGAAATTACTCAAGTAAGGGAATCACAAGATCCCTCTAGACTTCAGGTCATGGTTTGTTTATGCAATCCGCCATTAAACCAAAAAGATATACATCTCATTTTATTTTGCTGTTTGATACCATACATATGTTGTTCCTCTCCACTGCCAGGAATAAAGCTGTGAAAAACACAATGCTGCACTTCTGAGACAATGCTGTGAGTAAATAGGCCCTTGGGTCACATGTAAGCATTTTATATACGAAACAGCATTGCTGCAGTACTTTTATTTTGAAATTTACCTGGGATTCTACACTGAAGCCTTGTGTGATTTCCTGTCTAGCCATTTGTTAACTGTGGAAATGGACGCATCCCAGAAGCGGCTAAAATAGAACCCGATCCCATCTGTAGCGGCGCTTCTGGAACACGCCTGGAAATGTCCACGTCGCTGCTGGTTTGAAACAGTACATAGACTACAATGGATTCAGTTTGAAGCAGTAACGTTCCGCTGCCGTTCCATGCCGCTGATGCTTTTTGTGTAAAACCGGGGTTAGAGACTGGTGTGTGTGTGTACCTGTCTATACATCAAAGTGAGGACCAACGACAAGCTTTTTACCTGAAAACTGAGGACATTGGTAACGTAGCGAGGACATTTTTCTGGTCCTCACTTTGGGACAATGTTGCAGAGCTCTACTGGTTAGTTTTTGCGGTACGGTGTGAACTACGGCTGGGCGATAAGACCAATATCACGATTTACTGAGGATTTCACCTCGATAACGATAAATGGATGATAACTACAGGCATGCGCAGAGACAAAAGTTGTCCACTAGATGGGGCTGTCACATGTGTTATGTTGAGTCACATTTTTAACGTGACTGCAGGTGGTACAGCTTCTTAAAGGGACATGAACGTTGCCAACCTACACACATCTTTTCATTTTTTTTATTATCAAAATTATTGACATGGGAAAAATTATCTCGGTAAGAGTCACAAATGTCGACAACGATAAATTTTCTATTTATCGCCTAGCCCAGCCCTAGTGTGAACTAAGTTTTATTTTAGGTTAGGGTTAGGAATAGACTGGTTATGGTTAGAGTTAGGCTTAGGCACAATCCAGTCACTAAGATGAATGGAAGTCAACGACGGTCCTCACAACAAATGTTTGACAAGAATGTGTGTGTGTGTGTGTGAGAGTGTGTGTGTGTGTGTGTGTGTGTGTGTGTGTGTGTGTGTGTGTGTGTGTGTGTGTGTGTGTGTGTGTGTGTGTGTGTGTGATATACCTGTAACTGTGAGGCTGCCAGTTGAGAACACTTGAAATGTAGCCTTTAAGTTCTTGATTCTGTACGTAACAGCAGGATGGAGCTCAGGTTCATAACTGATGAAACAAAAATAGACATTTTACATCAATACCATGACAAAAACAAAGATTTCTGTATGAAATTATTCCAACAGAAATCCCAATGCTATTCAGAGAATATTAGCTAAACTGTCTTGATTTTAGTTGGGGTGGGGGGGGGGGGGGGGGGAGAACCTCAACACGATTAGAACCACCAGAGGTCATCCTGCACCAGCAGATGAAAAAGGCATCATTATTAGTTTCTAATAATTGGTACAACTAGATCAAAATCAATTAAAACAAGTGTGACACTACTATTTTCCCGATCTTGGATTGCAAAATGAAATTATTTGAGTCACATCAGCTCAGACATGAACTAATGCATTACCTGGCAATGGGCCGGTTGTTCTTTGTGAAGTCTATGAGATGAATGGCAAATGGCATGGAGCAGACGGCGAGCACATTCACAACTCTGAAGGCTGAAAACTTCACCTGAACAGAGAGAAAACACACACACACACACACACACACACACACACACACACACACATATGCTTATAAATGTGAAAATCATTTGCAAGAAATAAGCTTCATTTGTGCATGATAAAAATATATAAAATGAATGCACGAGTATTCAAATGTTTCTCTGTGATATATATATATATATATATACTACACACACACACACACACACACACACACACACACACACACACACACACACACACACACACACACACACACACACACACACACAGAAAGAGGCGTGTGGACATGTGTTTTCCAGTATATAATAATAAACTTCTAGTAATGAAAAGCAAATCTGAATGAAAACATGAGAGGTGTTCTAGTTTTCTGGTAGGTAAGAGCGTGAGGAAAAGTTCACACATTTTTGCAACTGCAGCTGAACATGCACCGGTCTGTTCCCCTTGTGCACCATCTCCAGACTTTGTGCTAACGCAGCATTAATAACTGCTGCACTGAGTCTCTGTGCTGACAAATACACAAAAATCCTGTTTGTGTTTTGCAGTATAAGTGCAGATTTATGGTGACTCCAATTTGATCTGGCTACTGTTCTGTTTGGTGAAGTGGGAGTGATTATTTTAGGTGAACGAGCGGTAAAAACTTGTAATCAGGGGATCACTCTCACCTTAAATCCAAGTTTCTGCAGGCAGCGAGCTAATCTGCGAGCACCCAGCTTTGCATCATCCTCACTGAAACACAGAACAAAGGAGGAGTGAGTTTTACACAGACAAGCAACACGTTTTTAAAAGACTCACAAATCACCTGTGCTGGCACTGGAGAAGGGTTTTGCATTGATGCTACCATCAGAAGTATCAGGTTTGTTTTCTAGATTCTGATTGGCTGCTGTGTTTTTTTATTCCCGACAAGAACACTTATGGAGTGCTCACAATGAAACGGTTTTGCATTAATGTGCTGACTCAGTCTGCATCAGGAGCAGGTAACCATAGTAGCAGGGACACACTGAAGGTCTTTATGCAACATACCACAATCAAAAACAGCGCTGAGCTAAAAAATGACACTGATCTTAATTTCTAATACAGTCATTCTGATGTTTTTCTTTGGTGCAATGGAATGTTATAATTTGAGTTTTTCTAAAGCAGTTTTATAAAAGTTTTCTCCTCTTCAGACACGGACAAACATGGTTATGTAATAGAAGAGCACATCGAGCATCATCCAGAGGGACATCGGGTGCTCCGACAGCCCATGGGGCATCAAATGTAGAGGAGAAAGAGTGGAACTCCTCTGAAGAAGACAACCTGTCGAAACCTTAGTTCTGTTTGTTTGCAACTATTAAAGTACTCAGGACCAGTTTGCTCCAAACATAGTTATGTGTCAGTATTCATTATGAGCTTGTTGCACCTTGTTGCTCCAGTGCAGATGATTTTCCCCGAGGACCAGATTGAGGCCGTTATCGTGGGCTTCCGAAGTTTCATCAGAACTTTCTGAAAACATAAACATCAACAAGATTTCAATATCAAAACATTATGTTTTCCACATTGTCCAAAACGTTAGATTCACTGATTTCTTTTACGGATGTTTGCATTCTCACCCCAACTTCGGGTTTGTAGATGACATTAGTTCCTTCCAAGGCGATGGTCCGTAGATTTAGGTGACATCTGGTCCTGAAGGTCGCCACCACATTCGTGATGATGATGTCGAGGGCTTCATCGCTGCTGGAATCCATGAGGAAGCGTGCAGGTGCAGCAGGAGGACCACAGGGGCTTTTGTTTTAATCACTCATTCAGCTGCAGCATCACCATGACTTTAAGAATGGACAGGGATGAAGACTGGCGAAAACATCAAAAAGGAACTTCTGGTTTATGTTGAGTGAGTTTAATATGTTAACATGTGAAAAACATTATCTGATCATTACAGAATCATAACCAGTGGTTTACATGTGAATTTCCAGGTAGTAGTTTCTCTTTCAAGTGCCATTGTTGTTATTTTAGCCTTACATCATCTACGCTTCCTACTTTGTAACACTGCAAAGCAGAAATAAAATAGTGATAGCGAGGCTAGACATTAAGTGACTGCTAAAACGTTTCGAAGAAATGCTAACTACCGCATCTAAGCGATGCTCACATGTAAACAAAATAAGTACGAAGTTAATCTGGTGAATAAAATGCAGCAAATTAAATATTTAAATACTGCTCTGACAACAAAGTATGGTTCGAAAATCCTCGCGTTAGCTGGTAACAAAGAGGAGTTCACACAGGCGTTAATGAATGAAAAGTTGTTAGCAACGGGAGCTATCTGGCTAGCTGTTGGACGAAAACCAAACTTCCAGGAAGCTCTGCGAGTCAAAGGTAACGAGTGTGAGTATAAAAGTTTGGTTGAAGTCTTTAGTTACCTCCTTAGAAAGTCCCATTGCTCTGACAGAACCATTAACAAGTCAATCAACAGAGATATTTATTTACTAACCCCTTCCTCTGCAGCTCCTCGCCAGGAGAATACTTTTTCCGCTTTCACTTTTCACAATAAAAGCATACAGCTTTGCGTTATTTTTTGTGAGTGACGTACACTTCCGTTTAGAAAATTTCAAAATATAACAAAAATCAATAGTGTGCCATCATGTGGATACTTGTATTAATAGAAACACGTTAAATATGTTTAAGACTAAAAGAAAAGGTACATACAGTCATTTAAAGGAAGCATGTTGCTAACAAACACACAGTTTCCACATTGACTCAGAGCCAGCTCTGTGTTCACTAATTTATTTTTTTGTAACTATGCATGCTTGCCAACCTTACACTCAACAGACTTATGTTTGCATCGTTTCCTCATGTGAAGCCCCTTCATACTATTTATACAGGATTGACATTTTAACTAAAAGGATTAGTGGATTCTCTGAGGAAAACGAGCCTGCCGGTAAACACTCCACAGGGAAATCTGCTCAGATTATATATATTTAAAAAAAAGAAGATGGCGTAAATTACAAATCCAGCTGGGAGCGTTTGTGATATTAATGAGAGAATAAGCAGCTGCTCCAGTTGCTCATCAATGAATCTAGTGAATGAATGTCACCCTTAAGATCCTGCACTCTGGCATGTTCTGTGATCTTAAAGTAAAACATCTTTGGGATATTTTCACTTTATACAAAACTGCGTCAACATTTAACTGATAATAATGACATATTTATGGGATGAATGTGTTGAAACCAAACCCAGGTTTGGACGTGTAGGTGCACACTTCATGTACTTGTTATCAAAGACTTATCGCCTGCTTACGAGCATCGAGCTCCACAATCCGCTCTTCATCTCGGACCTCTACAAACACTTCTCCTGCCTGGCCAGCTCCCAAACGAAACAGAAAAATATCTTCTTTATGATTCAGCTTTGTTGTTGTTGTTCTCACTCCCTGGTTACCAAAGCTTCTCCTTCCTCCTCTCATTAAATACGTCTGAGCTTCTTTTCTTGTTGAATTATTGTCTGGTACTCCACATCCATTCCACATAAGAGCCTCGTTTGGTTGTCCCAAGATGTTTACCATAAAGGTTGAGATTTAGAGCAGATTAGGAAAGTGGGACTGCTAGCGTTATTGATGTGTGTGTGTGTGTGTGTGTGTGTGTGTGTGTGTGTGTGTGTGTGTGTGTGTGTGTGTGTGTGTGTGTGTGTGTGTGTGTGTGTGTGTGTGTGTGTGTGTGTGTGTGTGTGTGTGTGTGTGTGATTGTGTGTGTGTGTGTTTACAGTTTGCTGGTCTGAATTTCACCGGGGCAGCTTCTTCCCAAGGGAACAATGCTTGTTCTCATTAGGTCATAGGATGCAGCATGTAAACCCACAGATGTGAGCACTTAGAATGTAAGAGATGCAGATATGTGCATGAGTAAATAAATGGTTCATCACTGTCTGAGTGTGTCAAAAAAGACTAAGAATAAAAAAATATAAAAACGTTGTCATTAAAGACACGGGAACTTCTGCAGATAAACTTGCACAAAGGAATTCATATAATGCTGTTTTTGACAAAACCTTTCAACAAGATAAAAATCTGAGCAAAGCTTTAGAACAAACTTAATAACAGAAATTTTACACGCAAATAAAATACCTAAACAATTTTTTTCAAGCATTTCCATAAATGTATCAAATCTATATTAAAACTATTGAATTTGAAAGTGATTTTCCCCACTGTGGGATCAATAAAGTCTGTTCTATTCTATTATTTTTTATTCTGTTCTATTCTATTCCAAATATATTGTAATGATTTGTTCTGATTATATTCGGTCACTCTGAGTTTTTCATGCAGGCTGAACATGAGAATAGTCTCCTACACCTACCTCCTGCATTAGCTTCTGATGGAAAATCTAGGATTTGGAAAGCCTGGCAGATCAGTTAACAGCAGAAGCTCAGGAGTTAGAGTGGGTTGTTCAGTATTCGGTAGGTTGTCGGTTTGATCCCGGCTCCCGCCAGAGAATGCTACTGTTGTGTTGTTGGGCAAGACACTCAACCCCCCCTCTGCAAGGCATTAGTCTCTACCAGAGACCACTGCAAACGTAATGATTAAATGAGTTTCCCACACCGTTAACTGAACTAGACTGAACTAATCAACACCAAAACCAGCCAGCCAGCCAGCCAACACTCTCTAGCTTCAGAAGTCTTGTCTAACATTCTCCATGACAGAATAAACAGCTCCAGCCCATCCCATTCCCAAACCACCTCAGCTAACTCCTCTATATATGGACAAGTGGTTTTACTCTAAGATCCGACAGAACTTTATCTAGTCTGAGCCTGTCTTACAGAGGAAGATCATTTCATATGCTTGTAGTGAGGAGCTTGACTTTTAGGTCATAATCCAAATCTCATGACCACAGTAAATTAATTTGCATTTAATTTCAGTTCCTCAGCAACAAACTGAAAAACCATACTTACTTGAATGAACCCTAACCCCCCTGATGCTGGTGGTCGGGCCTTGGCCCGACTTGGCCAGACTAAAGGAAGCCAGCCTTGCCACCTTCGTGGAGTATAACAGGTCAGGTGCATTGTAAGCCAGGTAGCAGATGAGCGTGCTGACCGCCAACATCAATGTCAAACATGACATATCATTTAGAATAGAACAGAATAGAATAGACTTTATTAATCCAACCGTGGGGAAATTCACTCGTTACAGCAGCACACACACTTAGAAAACAGGAAGAAGATAAATAATAACAAGAGTACTGGTAAACACACAAACTATTACTGTAACCTTCAACCACTAAAAACAACAAATAAAAACGAAACTTGTGTCTACAGAACTATACAGCATAAGGGACACAGACATACTAGTGTACATCCGGCGTTGCACAAGTACGGAACACATACTAAATATTGCATTGGTGTTATTGTGTAACAGGATAATGCCAGTACCAGTTCAACTGAGGAGTTCCACATTCTTACTGCAGAGGGGATGAATGACCTACCTTTACATGTGAATATAATATTATTGAATTAGATTCACAAGGTGTGTTTTGCCCTAATTTAATGTCAAATATCTCCATCCAAGCCACAGAACCTGGAGAGAATCAAACCCAGCACGTTCTTGCTGCAAGGCCACAGTTTTAACCAGCCACTCTAGTGCAGCCTTCACACAACGGTAAAACTGTTTATTCCAAAGAAAAGGCTTTTTGCACGCTTTTAAACTGTTGCTATATTTTACCAATTGCGGGCAGGATTTTGGGAAAATATGGAGTCATTCATGTCAACAGATGTTTGTGCAGAGGACTCACTTTAGCCTGTAAGTGTGTCAGGACCCCGGTGTTCTGTTTACGTTGGGTGTGCATCACAAACCCATTTCAAAAGGACTTAGAAAGCAAAGTTCAAGCTTTTGGGAGCCTTTGTATCAGTTCGGTTTGATGGCTTTGAGTTAAATGTTTATCAGTTCTTGTTTTTTCTTCATTTTAAAAACCTAAAAGGGGTTTCAGTTACACGCCTGAAAAAGGGTGAAGATCAGGTCAGAAAAGCATGAATAAAAACATCACCAACACATTAAAATGTGTAATCTAAAATGATCCTATCTGAGAGAATAGAGGATGCTGTTGATTATTTTATAAGTAATATATTTAGACCCATCTCTGCAACAGCACAGTGTGTCTGCAGGCCTACATTAATGTATAAGATGGAGATGAATGGTGTGTGAGGTTGCAGCGCACAGCGAATCCAGTGCTCTGGTCGAGCTGCTCCAGGGTCTCCCAGTGTAAACAGAGACGTGGGAACAAGCGAGGCTGTTTATACGAGCCCCATTCTTACTGGGACCAGTCCACCAGGCACCAGGGGCGAAGCCAACACACTCTGCACACACACTCATCCACGTTTATAGACAACGTTAAACAGATATATTTGTAAATTCCTCACTTCTGTAAGCGATGTGGATGTGGAGGATGTTTGACAAGTTATGCTAGATGCAAAAGAAAATCACTCAATAAAAAAGTCCAAGGATTCAACAACAGGAAAGAAGCAGTCGGCAATGATGCTGCACATACGTTTTAAAAGATAAAATATTAGAGCCGAGCTGGACGACAAGTCATTAAGACAAAACGTGTAAGCTGTTTGTTAAAAAGCACAATCAAAGCCAAGAGACAGAAAGAAGAACATCTCCTCTCACGTTTATTTCATCTTCAGAGGTGAGACTGAGCTCACACAGACAGATAATCACTCCAACACTCACCGGGCCAGATTTACTGCTCCGCATTCACACGTGTGCAGAAATCTCTCAGAGTTCCCTATGAAGCCTTGTTTAGACTAGATCTGAAAGTGATGAGTCTGTCATGTGCATCACCAACTCTGGTCTGCGGACAAGGCAACTGCTTTTATTAGAACCGAGGTGGAATGGGGATGCAGTACAAAATCAGTTAGTTTGGTTTGGCGTATCTATGGAAGAGAAGAGGGCCACTGGAAAAAAAAAGAAAAGAAAAAGAATTCTGACTTCAGTCAGAAATCTGATATTTTTGACTTCTGGAAAAACAAGTCAGAAATCTGAGACTGATGTCAAAATTCCTCAGAATTCTGAGATTACAGTCAGGATTCTGGGGGTGGGGGGGTGGGGGGGGGGGGGTTCGTAGTTCTGAGAAAAAAGTCAGAATTGTGAGTTGTATGTCATATTTCTGAGATTAAAATCTGAATTCTGAAATCAATCCCAACATTCAGAAATAAAGACACTGAAGTCAGGATTCTGAAAAAATAAGTCATAATTCTGAAATTAAAGTACAAAATCTCTGAGATTGATCTCAGAATTCTGGGAAAAAAGTGATAATTCTGAGAACATTCTGAGATTTTCTCAGAGTTCTGAGATCAAAGACAGGGTTCTAAGAAAAAAGTCAGAATTCTTTTTCTTTTATTGTTTTTTTCCCTTTCAGTGGCTCTATTCCTCTTCCATACTATGTACATTTTCGAACAGATTATTTTATTTCATTTTTTATGGGGCTTATTTAAACATTGGATTGGCAAGAAGTCCTCTTAGCTTCAAAAATACAAAATGATGTGTTT